GAAGCTAACGCTAACATGAAGCAGGGGCACAAAGAATGGCATTCCCACACAGCGTGTTAGCATGTTAAGTGGGACACTAATGCTAACCTAAAGCACGATGGCATTCTAAGCAGGAAGCTAACGCTAGCCACCCAAGGACGGCTGCAGAGATGGAATCAGCGATGGGGCCCTGTTCCAAACCGGACCTGGTAATGAAGCCTGAACCTGCTGTGCTTCTTCCGGAACCAGAAAGCCAGGGAGCCGGGCATGTCGAGATGCAGAGAGAGAGGGCGAGACTGAGATAGAAGGAACATGGGCTGCTCTTGGTGGAGCCTGCAGTTGGGGTATTGGGGAGGGGGGGGGTGACACTTCCAGTGTGACACCTCAGCCATGCTGACCCTGATCCCCACAGCAGCTTTACCACACGATTCCTTTTTTTAACTTCTGCGGTTTCGTCATCGCATCATTTTTCTACGATTCCCTCTTTTCCATTGTTTTGAATGGATAATTGTCACTTTCTTTGAACACGTTTCTAAGCTCTTCAGACACGGTATTTGCAGCCAGAATAATATGGGACCTTTTACCAGCATTTTCATTTTTTCAACGTTAAGACATAATTATGTCAGTAGGTCCCACTGAAACCCCACCTGCACCAACGTGGCCCCAAAGCCGGGACCAACATGGCTGTTTTAGGGGCAGCACTGTAAGTGCTAAACACTGCAGCTGTTCTGGTTCTCCCAGCGTGACAGCTTTGGTCAGACCAGGTTCCAAACCCACATCCTGAGAACCTGTGCATTCTCCCAGCAGGGGGTGGGATTAGCTCGCCATGCTAAAGGCAGAGAGGGGTGATGTGGTGATGTCACTGCTATGGCAGTAAGGTCTCTGAGCTTCGCATTGCTGGACATGCCATCCCAGCTGCAGCAAACAGAGGGGGGCGCCGGCATGCACATGCCACACAGATGGAGGCTGGGGGGACGGGTGGAGTCTGGCCCCCCCAGCAAGTCCCCCGTCAACGAGGCAAAAAAATAAAAGCAGCATTTTTGATTTCTTGAGTCCCTGGCTTCTGCGCCAGTAGGCAGACAATGAGCAGAGGCACGTGGGCCGTCCTGGGTGATCACATGACCTGAGTCTATGGCTGGAATTAGCCAATAGTGGCTCGGCAGGAGGGACGCCTAAAGCTGGTCTTCATTCAGCTAATTATGTTTATATATAAATCACCTTTGATCTCTTCTGGTGGATTTCATCCATCCATCCATCCATCCATTTCCCATACCACTTATCCATTACAGCATTACTGTTAGCTTGGAGCCTATCCCAGGAAAAAAGGGCATGAAGAATTCAGGTCCAGAGAGTAAAAGTCCAGACCAAGATATCGTTTCAACCAACCAGTTGAGTATAAAGAGTCACAGTTACAAAATACTCAACTGGTTGATTGAACCAGAATCTTGGTCTGGAGTTTTGCTCTCTGGACCTGAACCACCCATCTCTGAGGGTGATACAGAGAGGATTTGTCTCATGTTGTGTACTGTGACACGATAACCCCCATAAAGCAATTATAATGATTCCCTATTAACAAATATAGTTTGTCTTTGCTTTGAATACCCAGCTGTGATAGTGAGTAAACCTGCAAAAATGTTGTTGAGAGGACATAGGTATGTGGAGCCTGTTCTGAAGTCGCAAGCAGCCAGCTTGATGGGGGTCACGTGACCTCGGAGACTCGGGAGGCATTCTGGGGCACACGCCTGCTCCGTTCCTAACCTCCGCCGGTCGCTCGAGCAGACTGCTATTTCGAGGTGTCTGGGAATGTGTACAGGCTTTTATGGCTGGAACAGGATGGTCAGCTGCGGGGTGCGGTTTGTAAATGTCCACCCCCCCGCAGTCCTCTGCTGTTGGTCTTTCCCATGAGAGTGACTCTTTAGCAGTGTGCTGGGTTCTCCACAAACCCAGAACCTCACTGTTGGTGGGAGCCATGAACCTGGTTCTGTCTGGGCTTTGGGTCTGTGGTTCTGACACTCCCCAGTCAGTATGTGATCCCCTGCAGCAGGATAGGACAGAGCGTTCTGAGAAGGTCACATCTTAGGAGAACCCCGTACAGAAGCAGAAGCCATATTCAGCAGCTGCATGTGTGCTGCATTATATTGCCAACATTATTTTGTTTTTAATTATTCACTTTTCTTTAAACTCCCTATTTCAGTTCCTGCATCATATTCTTGCTTGTCTATTTTTTTGCCTCTTTCACGACGTCACTTGTCAAACATTTTCAGATGCAGCTTGTACCGTGGATGTAATCGTTTTACTCGTGGTGCACATTTGCTGGCTTCTGGAAGACGGCCCGGTGCTGTGGCCACAAACGGCCGCTGTCATCCTGACGTCCAGCTCAACACAGTCACTTAATCACTTAATAGCTTAATCACCACAATACCAAGGGCTGGTCTTTCATATGACCGTACAGAGGTGGTGTAAATGTTTCTCATCCAAATAACTGTCAGCCCTTCTGCCTTTCTCCCAGAAGGCACTGAGGATTTCTGAAGGAAAGATGTATATTTAAGTATTTGCTGCCTATGGAATTCATGAGAATGAACTCAGTGCTTTACAATCAGGGTAGAAACCCAGCTAATATCAAACGTTGCCTGGAACATTCTTTAGAGTTGTCATTTGGCCCTACAGCACGCCTTAAACAGGACCTTTAAAAAAACAAAGAAAATGTTTTTTTTTTAATTTATTCAGAAATGTATCGGCTAGCTTATATGTGTTCCTGAAATAAGCATCCTGGCACTGTACGGCTACTGTGAAGATGTTTCTTCATTTTGCGGAGAGTCACACACAGCTTCCGTCAGACAGATTAAGGCAGCGCTCTTCTAATGCCTCACAGACGCAGGGAGTGTCCCGGCGGCATAAATGGGGCGCTCCCAAAACTCAGGCGGGAAGAACCGGCCCGGGTTTATGCGGAGGTAACGTCTCGGGGGGGGGGGGTCGCGCTAACCAGGAAGTGCTTGGCGGGGTGAAGCCAACTCCAGCAAAACGGCCCACGCTCAACGGATTTACGGGCGACTCGAGAGGAGAAAGAGAAAGTCATAGAAATATGAGCTCTCTTAAGAATAATGAGGAGAGCCAGAACGTGCAGTGGGGGAGCAGGTCCTGAAATGGCTGTTGGCCCTGAGCCTGAGGCAGGGTCTTTGTGGTGATGACGGGCCAGGGGCAACATTATTGCTCCCAGATGTGGACCCGTGCCGCGGCCACCTTTGAAGCGGCCTCCATGCGCCAGCGCCTGTCAATCCTCCGCAATAGATGCTCTAGGGCCGTCGGCTCTTAAAGGGACGGCGCACCTCTTAAAGGAACGACGCACCTCTTAAAGGGAGGCCCCTCCCCCACCTTCGCCGTTCCGAGCCCCTGGCGGCTTTTATTTAAGGATGTTATCAGTGCGTATCGCCGAGCTGGTGTCTGCTCCTACAACCCAGACAGAGCAGGACACAGGACTTTGTTTATTCTTCAGATCATCGCTTCCTCTGGCTTCCCCGGCCCTATCAGCCATAACAAAAACAAAAGAGCGGATGGTAACCTATCTTGGGGGGAGTTGGGGGGGCTTGCAGATGCTTTTTTTCCCTTTAACAAGGGCACCAATGTCATTTACCTTATCGGACGAGACCTGAAAGCTGATTGGTTGAGTGGGATCGCCGGACAGCGCACATTCTGTTGTTTGACAGTTAAAAAAAAAAAAATGAGTAACCCTGGTGTAACCCTGGGCTCGCAGCCCATTTGGCTGTCGAGGGGGGTTCCAGCGTCCCGCCTGAACACCTGTGAGGTCAGGGGTCAGGCTGGCTCTCGCACATGGGGGTGGGGACAGCTAGGGCTGGAGGTGTAATGACCTCCCCCTCCCAGTCTAAAGGGGGGAGTGCTTGACTAGCTTCTCTCGTAGACAGCATGGGATTCTCCTGACATGCTGTCTACTGCCCCCCCCCCCCCCAGTCTGGGCACCCTGGCTGCTCTGACCCAAGCAGCTGGGTGGTCTCCCCCCCTGGCCCAGACCTCCCTGCCTGTGAAGTGTCTCAGATGCCTCCTGACACTTCTCAGCGAGATGTATGAAGCCTGGGCTTTGCTCCTGAACGCTGCTGCATTTTCACCAGTGCCGGCTTATAAAAAGTGGTGATCTCTCCTCTATGGACGTCCTGCTATTCATCTGCTCTGCTTCACTGCCCTACTCTGCCTCTCGTTTGCCATTGTATCCTGCCCGCAGCAATGAGAAGACCACGCCCCCCTTGGCGAGCAGTCCACGGTGGGCCAGGCTGGGCCGTTCAGGGCACCGACGACATTGGCGCTGATGTCATCGTGCCAAACCGGCTGAGACTGCTTGTTTAGTCCACCGGGTCTGGAAACATGGGGCGATGACTCTTTTGGGCCGTGAGCTGACGAAGCCGGGGATTACCAGGTCGGCCACGGAGTTTATAAACATTGCCGGAAGGTTCTGTCATTGTTGCACAAGGGAGCCTCACAAACACGACAGAACACGAAACACTGGGGCCTTAAGGTCATTCAGCGATTTGTAACACACCAGGAGGGTGTGGGTTCATACCCAGTCGGAAGCTGCTTTCATACCATATACAGTAGGATATGTGGAGAAATGTTCACCCCAGTGGTGAGGATCTCCCAATCCCAGGAATGAAATGGGAAGTGGTCTTTCAAGATTTAACTTAATGCAGACACATGATTACCAGGGAAGCCTCTAGTCATAGAACTTTTTTTAAGAGTTTTGTAAGCAAGGCGTGGGCGCGCCGGGGGGGGGGACAGGGGGGTGTAGCGTGTGCGGCTGCCCAGCCGGCTGTGGCCGCCCCAGTCGCCCACTGGAGTTTTATTTTAGATACGCAGCTTTTAATCAGTTCCAGGCGACGTGGTGGGTTGTTGTAAAACGGGATTCCAGGCTCTCTGCATCTCCAAGTCAGCCTTGAAACCAGCACCCTCCCCACCCCAATCGTTTTTTTTCTCCTCCCCCTCAAATGCTGACCTTCTTTGTGCGTCCCCTGCAGGAGAAGGAGAAGAAGTACATGCTGCAAGTGGACAACCTGAAGCTGAGGGATGTGGAGAAGGGATTCATGTCCAGCAAGCATGTCTTCGCCCTCTTCAACACGGAGCAGAGGTCAGCCTTGCGACCCCCTCCCGTACACCCAGAATACCATGCGTGATGCCCCCGCTGTACACACCCAGCTCACATCACGCGTCTCGCGGGACATGTGGGTTACATTTTTGCCACGCGATTTAACATTTCATTCATTAACTGGTAACATTTCTGATGCTGACTGATGTCACACAAGAGCTTTAATATCCTGCACTGTTATATATTTACACACTCAGCGGGCAGTAAATGATCTGCACCTGTGCATTAACGCAGACCGGCAGTCACGCGGCTGCAGCTGAATGCGTACAGCAGACAGATGGGGTCCGGCACTGTGTGGCTAAGCACACAGAAAGGTCTGGAAAAACAAAACACATCCAGTTTTGTGGCTGCAAACACCTTGTTAATGGGAGAGGTTGGAGGAGAATGGCTTGTTAAAGCTGACAGAGAGGCCAGAATTTGAAAAATAACAGCTCAGTACCACAGTGGTGTGCAGAAAGGCTTTTCTACCTCTATCGAGCATTTACCCTTGAAGTGATTCTGAAGATAAAAGCGGGTTCTGCCCGTTACTGGCTAGGTATAGCTCATAAAGTGGATATATCTACACTAGATAGCACCTAAAAATATTTGATCGTGAAATAAATACTATTCTGTGAAATAGTGAGGTTGACTTTAAAAAGGTGAGAGGGTCATTGAGTGAGATTATGGGGCTGGAGAAGTAGATGACACCCCCCACCACCACAGGAACGTGTACAAGGACTACCGGCAACTGGAACTGGCCAGCGAGTCACAGGAGGAGGTGGATGGCTGGAAGGCGTCTTTCCTGAGGGCCGGAGTCTACCCAGAACGCATTGTGGTAATGTCACTCCGGTCACATGACATGCCCTGCAAACGGCACCTCTGATTCCACTAAAACCAGCTGCACCTTTCATACTTTTGATTAGATATAAGTTTACTGTGGACTATCGGTACAAACTCTAACATCTCTTTCCACTTTATTTCTGCTGGACGCTGCCATAGGAAAAGGATAAGGTATAGTATTGCCTTTCATCAATTCGCCCCCTATTGGTCTGACCCTAAAGGATAGTGCTGACTTGTACATACTAGCTGTAGAAATACAAATGTGCTGTATTTCTGAAACAAAGTGCATTCTGAAACCCAAGGAATTGACAGGATTAGTCTGATTCTACTGAAAAAGCAGTAATGGGGTTGGCTGCAAATTATTTTGGAGTTACTCCTTAAATGGGCTGACCTTGCAGTGACCTTGAGGTGACCTTGCAGTTTTGGCCGGTTAGTTTAGCCTGACTGTAGGCAGTGATGGTTGGTTCCTGGCCGACACCAACTTCACCGGCCTTTGACTACTAAATGTTAGTTATTGCACCAATGTTCCTGTTTAGTAGTCTATCTTCTGTTGCCTCTTCATCCAATTCTACATTTTATCCCTCTTGTCTTGTTTCCCTCTTTATGACACTTTTCCGGCCCATCTACTGCCTTGGCTCCACCCCTTTTCCATATGGCTCTGCCCTCCTAACTTACCGATAACTTCACTTGCACCCCGGCAGAATGACACTGAAGATAGCGGCTCGGATGGCTTCATGCACTCCATGGACCCGCAGCTGGAACGCCAGGTGGAGACCATCCGGAACCTGGTGGACTCCTACATGGCGATAGTGAACAAGACGGTGCGAGACCTCATGCCCAAGACCATCATGCACCTAATGATCAACAACGTGAGTGTCCCATCAGCACAGAAGGCGTCCTTCAAACTCCAGCCTTCCTGTAGCACTGCGGTTCCTGGTCGTCGCGTTTAGCTGTCCAGATCCTGCAGAGTTTGGAGAACAGGGTATCAACAAGCACTGGACTGACAGGTGGAAAACCAGGACAAGCAAGCAGGTTTCCTGCAGATTTTGAATTCAGTGATGTGTCCCTCTCTATGGGGTGTTGTACAAACAGCTCATTTATGCATAAATTATTTCTTAGGTAAAGTAATTAAGCACTGAGACCATGCAAAAATACTGTCAGATCTTCCACGGGGTCATTGGGGTACCTGTAACAGTTCCACTCTCTGCGTCAGTTCCTGAAGGTTCTGTGGTTCTTTTACTTTGTTTTACTTTCCCTAGATTGGAGCGCGACTGCTTGTACTTCTTAGAAAGTTACAAACAGGTCTGGCTCTAGCTATAGGCAGAATAGTCAGCTGCCCAGGGCCCCTGAAATACCTCCATTGCGGAGGGAATGAAATGATCGTCGATTTTCTTTTTAGTAAAGTATTTTAGTAAAGTATTTTCAGTAAAACTTTGCCTAGGGCCCCTGAAAAGGTAGAGCCAGCCCTGGTTATACTGTGTAATTTTTCCCCCCTACCCCGATAAATGGTCAGACGAAGGAATTCATCAATGCGGAGCTGCTGGCGTGCCTCTACTCGTGCGGCGACCAGAACACGCTGATGGAGGAGTCGGCGGAGCAGGCCCAGCACCGCGATGAGATGCTGCGCATGTACCATGCCCTGCGGGAGGCGCTAGGCATCATCGGCGACATCAGCACCTCTACCATCTCCACTTCCATGCCCCCACCTGTTGACGACTCCTGGTTACAGGTTTCGGGGGGGCCGTCCGGTCGCAGGTACCTCACAAGGGGGCATGTTCGGACATACAGGAGTAAATATGCAAAATATCCCAACTTTCAAATAAGATGGGTTACACGAAATGGGAGGGGGGTTGAAAAGCCAGCATAAAATTAACAGAATGGTGATGGTTTATATCAAACAGTGATGGAGTGGGCACTGGGAACAATGGTGAGGTGGCTCCCTCTGCTGGAGCAGAAAGAAACAGCTCTCTACACCTACAGCAGGGCCACATGGTGGAGTGTATTAGTGGGAGTGTGTGTGCTAACTGGTCAGAACCATACAAAGAATAGAACATAGAAATGACAAGTTACTCGCAGTCGAGCATGACAGCATGCGTAGAACTTTCCAGGCCTTAGGAACTTGGTTAAGTGGACTTAGGAAATAACGCAAGTTTTGGGGACCTTACTTTGTACACTAACCCAAGTTACTTCAGTAAATGTCCAGTAGAATGGGTGAGAAAACAGTGTAGGTCACATCATCTGGACTTTTCTTCTCCTGGCGGTCCTTGAGGACCTGCAGACGGTCTATGCTTTTGCTCTGCCAGACAGCTCATGGGTCCCTGAGGACTGGTTTGAGAAACATTGCTGTAAATGATTATAGTGGCGGTTCTACCCCCATTCCCCTCCTCCTCCAGGTCGCCGGCAGCCAGCCCCACCCCGCAGCGTAGGGCGCCCCCAGGGCCTCCCTCCAGGCCCGGCTCCCGCGGTTCGGCCCCTGGACCCCCTGCTGCCGGAGGTCCGCCTGTCCCCTCCCGCCCTGGGGCGTCCCCGGACCCCTTCGGTGGGCCGCCCCCACAGGTGCCCTCCCGGCCCAACCGCGCCCCCCCGGGTGTACCCAGGTAAGTCATTGCAGCGAACAGTTGGTGTGAATAAAACTGGGATGGATGGGGCGGGGGGG